GGGGGGGGGGGGGGGGGGGGGGGGGGGGGGGGGGGGGGGGGGCGGCGAGGTGTGGGAGAGAGAGAGATGGAGGAGATTGAGGAGGTGAAGAGGTTGCTGGTTGTTGTTGAGAGACTGGGAGATGGGAGGAGGAGATGTGTGGGAGATGTGAGAGGCGACGGGAGTTGAGAGAGTTGGGCGTTGTCGAGCAGGTGCAGTGGGGAGGAACGAGATGGGCCGAGTTGAACGACGGTTGCCAAGTTTGTGAGAGATGAGGGAGTTGAGGGAGAGTTGGCCTGTCCGGCTTGTCCAGGTGTCTCGGCGGTCCAGGCTGTCGGAGCGCGAGACAAGGTACCGAGCACTGCAGGCGCGAGGACTGCGTCGATTCCAAGGCCGTGGTGTTGAGCAAGGTGTAGAAACTGTCTCACAAGCTCACAAGCGAGAGACGCGCGCGCCCTCTGCTCTTGCTCAATTGTTCAAGGCATGGCCTCCACGGCCTCCATGGTCTGTCTCCATGGCCTGGCCCGCCTGGCCCGACGCCAGACGTCGTCTGTTTCCAGGAGCCAAATCTCTTTGCCCAAGTCGTCGTCACCTTGCGCCTTGCCCTCCCTCCCTGCCTTCGCTCTCGCCCGCGCGTAACCGTGTGCCGCGTGCCGAGCCTGCCGCCGTCCTTCGCGTCTCCGTCGGGGGCGCGGGCGAGCTGGGCGGAAGCGCCGAGGGGAGCAAGTCCAGAACTCGCTGTGCCTCTCCGTGATCCGGCCACATCCGAGAAGACACATCCAGGATTCAGGGTGGACTCATCATGACCTCGGTCCAGCTGGAACGCCCCCCCCCCCATCTGCCTCAGGGACCCACGATGCGGCTAGGCACAGGGACGACTGGAATCTGGACTCTGATGGTCTGGGCTACAGGGGGGCCAGACTCAGCGATCTGTGTGCTGGTTGCGCCCCTTGCGTCTTGCGCGCGCGCGGTCCCCCTGCCCTGTGCCTGCGTCTACCTGACACGCGAGACGTTTGACAGGCATGGCTGGAAATGCCGCATGGTACTCCCCCCGCCCTCCTTTCCGCTCATTCACCCATATTGTCCCTGACACTGGCTGATTTCTTCCGACAGCGTCTGCCCTTTTTGTGTCAATCCACAATCTGGCCATCGCCCCTGCTTCTTGCGCCCCTGCCCATGCCGATCGGCATCACACCATCTCCATCACTCCATCACACATCACAATATTCCAAGGCCCCCCTTCGCTCCCCTACTCTCGTCAGCTTCTCTTCTTTGTCTCCCTGTTCAAACGACTCCGAACACTCCACTGCACGGCACCACCGTGCCCATGGAGCATGGTGCGCATGGCGCACAATAACGCGCCGCCAGACGGCCAAGCCTGCCCCATGCGGGGCATTCACTCGGCGCGGAGCGGGAGGCCAAGACATTTTGCGCCGTGTCAAAAGGCGCCCGCTTGGATTTAGTCTTGGGCTATTGGGTAGAATGGCGGGCCACACTCGACGGAGCTCAATAGCCCACTGGCCACTGGCCACTGGCCGCCTGCCCGTCGTGGGGCGCATACCCTGGTTCCGGGGACTCCAGTGCCTTCTCCTCCCCGATCCCCAGCGGTGCGGCGTGGAGCGGAGCTGTCGCCGCATCGCGTCCTCCGAACGCGTCAGTCCGATCAGGCAATGCATTCATCCAGTCCAGGCATGCCGCCCGGCCTCCAAGCAGGGTCTCAATTACATGACATGACGGATATGAAAGGGACTCTTGCAATCCAGAAACTTCCTCTGCGGGGGTCAGCCTCAATTGTCGCGATCACGCGGCGCCCGCTCCCCCTTCCCTTGCCCAGAGTGCCGAGAGCCGAGGAGCTAAAGGAGCGAGGAGCAGAGAGGATGACTCGACGCTCCGCCGGCTTTGTACTTTCCAGTGACGAACGGCCACCCAGCGACCTGCCGGCCGCGGCCGCATGCCCGCCTGACCGTCTGCCCGCCTCTATAACCATTCAGCATAGCCGCAGCCGGCGGCCAGCGGCCTCGCGAGAACGGCGGCACGATTTGTGCGCGCTGCCACGCAATCGTGCCTCAGCCTCAGGCAGCCCAGCCTGGCCCGTGCCGCGTGCCTATGTAGCTGTCGTCAGCGGCTGAGACGCCTCAGGCGACGACGCAAACAGAGGCGAGGAACAGCATAACAGAGGATGACCAGCCGCTCGAGCCCGGAAGCAAAGCTAACTAACGCGCGCACTCGCACTCTCGCCGCCTAATGTCGGACGTCAGCAGCCCGAAACATATCCCGACGCCACGCAGCCTCGTCGCCATCACGACGGGCACCGGGCGGCAGAGCTTCGAGCTTCGCGAGCGTTGACGTTTCACGCTTCACTTTGACGCTTTGGGGTCTCATCGCCCCTGCCAGCTGTGAGGGAGGGCGAGAGTGCGAACAAACAGTGCGTTGCACCGACGTCCCTCATGGCACCGCGGACCACGGCACCGGCCTGTCATGCAGGCAAGATCGTCGAGGAATGCACAGCTGGCACATGTAGAGTAGAGCTTTGAATCTGTGAGTTGGACGCCTGAAGGCTGAGGCCGTCAAGATCTCGGAATGCGTGGTCGGAACCGAACGGCGCCCGGTTCCAGCGCGCGGATTCTGATTCACGCACCTCTTCTCACGATCTCACTCCCACGCTGGCGCGCTGGCTTTGCCGATCTGCCAGCTGTCCGCTGCCAGCATGCTAGTGCCATGCCAGTGCCGACATTGCGGTCAGAGGCGTGGCAGACGAGTGCATTGCGCCAAGTGCCACGCCGAATTCGTCAGCGCCAACCCGTACACGTCAGCATCTCGCAATGGCAAGCACCTGCCTGGCCTTGCTTGCCAGCTGCGACGCCGCAACTCGCCAAGACCTCGCTTAGCAGCCCGAACACATGCCACGCTGCCCTGTTCCTAGATGCCACGATGGCGATCGACAACATGCTGTGATGTGTGATGTGTGGCGTGGCAAGTGTGGTTGTGGGAACTCGACACGCATGACACACCGGGTTTGGCGGATGTCTACGTCGGCCGTGGCCAGGTGTGTGGTCAGAAGGAGCTGGGTCGCTGGCGAGGGAGAAGGTGGCGAGCCGTCAGCACGGGCGTGTGATTTGCGACCGTGAGGCATGAGGCAGTCAACAGAGTGGGGCAGCTGGAGGATGGAATCGGGATCGTGAGAAACCAACCCGCGTGGAAATTCGTCCATCCTCTGAATTAGGCGCACAACCTCCACCACCCTCCAATCCCCGTAGGCGCGCACCTCCGAGCTCCGATCTGACTTTCTTTCGGCCTCAACCTCTCTCTCCTCTCGAGCTCTACGACACTCCGCACCACCCCGATGCGCCCAACACCTCTTCTCCGCGGCGCCTCGCGGCTGCCACTCACGACCAAACGCGCGAACAAAGACTACTACAAGGGCACGCGCCAGTCGTACGTCCCGGGCGGCGGACACCGTACCGGCCCGCCGGGCAAGCACGTCGTGAATGGCACAGCAAAGTATCGCGTATTGGACGAGGAGGTGCGATACTATGTCGGGCCCGGGATCGATGTGTTGCAGAAGACCAGTGTGAGTTGCGAGGAGGGGTGGGGAGGCTGGAGAGCTGGAGAGGGGCGAAGCGGGGAGAAAGGTGACGTGGTAAGAAAGGAGAGGAACGGAACGGAGGCGGAAGGAGGCGAAGATGGGAGCAGAGCGGAGAGCGGAGAGGAGAACGGAGAGGAGAGCGTTGCCTCCCGGTTACCTTCAGCTCCGCTGACCCCAGCTCAAACCCTACGTCGCAGCCCACACCCCGCTGGCACAGAACGCGCCCAAGCTCCCCTCGTTCGCGCCCAAGCCGCCCAAGCGTCTCGGCGTGCAGGGACGAAAGGCGTGGAGCAAGGCGTACGCCGAGCTCGGCATTAACGACCGCGCCGCCCTCATCCAGGACGCACGCCGGAACTGGTTCCAGGCGCTGAGCGCGCAGTTCGGGCCTCGCGTCAAGGCTAGCAAGGAGGGCAAGGAGGGCAAGGCAGCCGTCTCGGGACCTGTCGACCCCACGGCGGGCGGAGAGGCGGTCAAGGCATAGAGCATGTATTCATCACACTTCTGCGTTCACGAAGGGATAGTTAGTGACCGGCTACTGATCCGTGCTCTGCTAACGAGACTCTGCGACTAGACCTTGCTCGCCTCCTTGTAGCCCGCTGCCCTCGGCCACTCTCCTCGCCTGCTCGCATCCGATGCATATTACAATATCTATCACCTAGCTCGTCGAGGCCCCAACAGCAAGACGCTTCAGGTGCTCCATAAAGACCTGCAGCGACACATCGTCGGTAAAGATAGCCTGTCCGGGCGCCTGCTGGCCGTAACCCATTCCAGACGTGTGCGTCGTGCTCGGGTTGAGCTTGGAGAGCAAGAAACGCGCCTGCGACCCGCCCTGGTCGCACACAACGTAACGCGGAATCGGAAGGCGGTCCTCGAGCAGCTCCTGAGCGTCGGCGACAGGGGCCTCGAGCAGCTCCTTAAAGTTGGCGTAGTCCTCCTGCTCCTGGTAGTTTGCGTTGCGCCACTGTGCGATGGTCTCGCCATGGAAGATGAGGATGTGGAAGAACGTATCCAGCAGCAAGATGACGTCGGGGCGGATCGACACCGAGTCGAGCAGAACCGGGTGCGGCTCCTGGTCAAACGTGTACGACATGAGCGTCGGCTGGATCATGATGAGCGAGTTGTTCACGTCGGCGTCGTTCAGCACGTGCCGGTAGAAGGCAGTCTCATCAGGCGAGTTGTTGAACACCTGCAGGAACTGCGAGCGACGCAGGTGGAACATGAACTGTGGGTAGATGCTGAAGTTTGGCGACAACTGGAAGCTTGCAGGGTCCTCCTTGCGGTAGTCGGCAAACTTCTGGCACAGGCGGATGAGCATGCGGTCGAGCCAGCGAAGAACATCGGGCGCGTCGTCGATTTCGGCCTTGAACACGGCAATGCGCGCCATGAGCACTGCCGCCGCTTCCTGGTCGAACTGGGCCGCAATGTTCGGGTGCCCGCCCTCATGGAATGTCCTCGCCACCGTTGTCACGCGCAGGCGGTATTGTCCGGACGCGTGCTGGTAGTGGGTGACAAACTGGATGAGACCCATGTGATTGGGCTGCAGTGGCTGCCCTGCCGGCGTGACCACTTCAAAGTAGCACGCCAATGATGTCTTGGGCGAGAGCGAGCAGATCTTCCAGGCAGACGTCTGGCCGATACCAATCTCGGTCTCACCAACACAGGGCGACTTCTTGTTGGCGCTGATGACGTGGCCAATGACGCCCGACACCTTCAGTTCCTTGGTGGTCTGGATGTCGAAAGTACCGTTGAAGCCCATCTTAAGGAAGCCGTCCTCATCCTTGGCGAACGTACGCAGGAAGCTCTGCTTGAAGATCGCGGTCATGAACGAGTCGGAGATGACCATGAAGCCGTTGGTTGCGTTCGACAACGACTTCATCTCGAGCAGGCCGACTTGGTCGAGGCAGCCTGCGTAGATATCAACCGCGTGGCCACTCGTGGACGCCCGCTTGCTCAGGCTCTCGTAGTACTTGGTCGCGCGCTTGAAGTGCTTGACCGAGTCGCGCTCAATGTCGTGGTGCGAGCGGATGGGCTCACGCAGCTCGGGGGACACAACCATGCCTGGGCCCTCGGTGGCGGGACCGCCCGAGAAGAGCATAATGCGCGCGCCAGTGTTCGGGAACGCGTTCTCGAGGAGCGCAGTCGCGACGCCAAGGGCGACACCAGTGCAGCGCAGCGGGCGCTGGCGGTCCGATACGGGCCAAGGGTCGCGCTGCAGGTTCTCGAGAATGTTGGTGAGTTGGAACTCACACGCCTGAACAGGCATGAGGAACTTGCTCGCGGCAGGCGCGGGCATCGGGCCACCCGGCCGCACTGGCTGCATCGGGCGGTTCGAGGGGTTAAGGCCCAGCATGTCGGCGATCTGCTTGGGCTGGTACTCCTTAGAGCCGCGGAACACGAACGACTTGGGGCAGTCGGCGTAAGCGAGTTCGTGCACCATAGCCATGGTGCCGAACGTGATAAGACCAACAAGCGCGTTCGGGGGCAACAAGCTGAGTGAGACAACGAGGGTCTCGCGCAGAGCGTTCAGCTCATCCTCCTCCAGGCACGTGTCGACGACGTAGAGGAAGATGGGGGGCACCGGTGCGGGGCGCGAGAGCGTGTACTCAATCGTAGAGTACTTTGGTGTGACCTCGGGGGGAAGGTTGGTCTGCGAGATGTCCTTGTAGTGCGGCGGGAACGGGTTGCGCTGCAGGCAGAATGGGCAGATCCACATCTTGCCGCGCACATCGATCTGGCTGTCTGTCAGCACTTGGAATGACTGCAACGGTTACCAGTAGGGGTTGAGGATGGCCTTGCACGGCGCCTTGCACGTCACCGGCTCGTACATGACGGGCGGCAGGTCGTCGCGCTCCTTCAGCGGCGTGTACAGCGCCGAGATGGGAACGACGGTGCGCGTCGCCTCGATGCGGCTCGACGGCCATGCGTTCCATGAGAAGCGAACGCCTGTGGTCAGCGACAACAACGCGTATCGTGGGCGAGGGCAAGAGGAGAGGGTCGAAGTGAGGAGGGCGTGGGTGACTGGAGAATCGAGGTGGAGGAGGGAGGTTGGTTCAGAGAAGGAGGGGTCTTGCTCCATCGCGCCCTCCTCCAAGCACCGCGGGTCGAAAAAGCCTCGACTTACCGTCGCGGTCCTCGATGTCCTCAAAGTTGGCGCCGCTCATGGTCTCGGACTGCCGTGAGATGAAGGATGTGTAGAGCTCTTTAACGTGGAGAGTGGTGAGCAGCGAGGTGATTCTGTTGGCAGTTAAGGGCCGCGCTGGCACATCGTCACCGCAGCCGCACGGGACCAATTTCGTTTAATCCGCGTGGGGCATCGGATGTCCCCCTGCCGTCAGAGCGTGCGTTCGATTCTTCGCGGAGCCGTAGATTATGTCAGAACGACTGCGTCTAATCCCGCGTGCTTGCTGCCCAGGCTGAGAATGTGCTACTGTGCACGGACTCACCGATGCCTTCCAATGTCATCACCTTTGCGAACTTCTCTAGCTTCTCTGGGGCTACCTCTTCACCAACGTAGAGACACAGTTTGAAAGAATTTGATTTTTTTGAGAGAATCCAATGTTATTCAAGGATGTATAATTCAATGTGCCAACCATCGAGTCTGGCGGCAACACTCCACCAATGTTTGCAACCTACATAACCTCATGCGTTGTGCGTTCCCGCCTCTATTCTTAAGCCACACAGAACACTAACTTTAATACGAACTGGGACACCGTTAACTTCTAGTCGTGCACCATTTACACAGCTACGCGCTCGCTGAAGAAGATCCGGGCCACGAAGGCTCTGGCCATCAATTTTGGATCTGTCAAAGCTGGCCCTATCAGTTCGGGCCATAGAAGGAAAACGCTATTGATATTTCGGCTCGTACCGTCTGGTGGCTGGAGGTTTAGGTCATGGAGGCTCTCCTAGCCACAGTTGTGCCTCGGCTATGCCAGCTGTCTTTTCCTGCTCCTCCGCCTCTGCTATCTCTGGGAAAGCAGTAGCCGTGAAGGTATGGTATATGGGGCACAGACAAAGCGAGGCTCTCATTCCCCGCCTCCGCGCCTCCAAGCCAAGAACCCAATCTAAGCTATATTCGACATGCATACCGGCAGGGCGGCAGGCGGCAGTGGCAGTGACGTCTGCGGATCGCTAACGTTGATTTGCCACGAATTGGCATACCACAGATCCCAACGCCTCAGTAGATCTACGCTACTTCACTGCCCGTTGCCCTGCGACGACTGCAGCCCGTCGTTGTTGCAGTTCATTTCGGATTCGCAGCGCGCAATGCGGACTACGTATGCGCTAGACGTTAGCTCCAAATTACGCGAGGGCCAGAGGCGGTCCATGGAGTGCAGGTGTGGCCTGTGGTGTAGAGGTTTAGCGGGAAAGTTAGGGCGGGACCACTCAGTTCTCACGAGTACACGCGGAGCCTCCCATGATCGGCCCAGGTTCATCCAGCACTTGGTGAAATGGAGACGAGAAGCGATTTGCAAGTCCGTCGTAGCGGACGTGAAATGATCGAATGTTGCCCTATGACGGAGATCGGGGAGCAGGTCATCGACCAAACGCAACGCAATGAAAGATCCATAGCAATGCTTTACGGACCCGCTGCAGCCCAGACGGAAACCGATAAAAGATAAATGAACTTCAGAATGATGACCTCCTCAATGACAGGCAGCTGATGGCCAGAGCGAGGGAATGATTCGTACATGGCTTCTCAGTAACAGGTTCGCACTCTCCGCGCTTCGCGTTACTATCGCGTTGCGAGGCTGTCGAGATGCAGAGATGTGGTCGGAGACACCGCCGCACGCCCATACGTTGGGCGGTTCGGGCTCCCGCGCGTCTAGCAACCATAGCGGAGCAAAGAACGCCCCGCCACGTCGATCTTGTGCCATCCGCCAGCTGTCAACAGTCAATCTCCACCCGCGATCAATTTCTTGAAATTTCCTTTGGGCCGCTCTAAGCCGTCGTCTATCTAACATCTTTGTCGCCGCGCACGGACCTTGCGGAGCCTTCAAAAGGACACGTTCCTCCAAGAATATGCTGCTCTCTGACGGAGAATTGAACTCCGGTCTCCCGCGGTCAGTGCTAATGACAAGCGAGCATACTAGCCACTATACGATCAGAGATGCTGGATGATCGTGATCGACTCTGCGGCGAGATGATTCGTACCACTCCACACCCTCAAAGTGCAGTCAGCCAGATAGATGAGAGTGTATACGCCACACAATCCTCTGTTCACTAGCTGCTCCCCCGTTGCGCCCTTAGGCTTGTCTGAAAGTTACGATAAGAGCTAGATGTGACTTCCACGTCACATTCGGTCACCGTCTCGAGCGTACCTTTGCCCACAACATTGAAGGTACGAAGCAGAGCTTGCTTGGGCACGTTAAGACCATGGCGGACCGAGTCAACCCTCCAAGACGCTTGAGATAGAGGAGACGAACGCGCGCGCGCTGACTCATCAGCGGACCTCTCTCCCAAGGGCACAGCAAGAGGGCACGAAAGTGATTCGCATGCCGCGTGCGCCAAGAGCCAAATACGAAGGCTGCAAGGCTTTCAAGAACGTAAGACCCATCTGTGACAGCATTGCATCGATCTGCGTGGGGCGACAGCTCGTAGCTGCGGATCGCCCTTATCCTAGCCTATCACAAAAGAGAGGAGGACTCAAGGAGAGAAGGATTGAATGTTTTGTGCTCATGTGCCACACACAGCTCATCCCCATCCCGCCCCGCCGCCCCTCCACCGCACTCGCCCCCCGCACTCTCACCTCGCCTTCTCTCGCAATCTCACAGCACCGCAACACTGCATCTCCATCTCCAACACACTCGTTGCCCAATTGCTCGTTGCCCACCTCCTCTTTTCCCATCGTACACACCCACTCGGCACTCTCGTCTCATCCCATCCCTAACCTTTCCCCCTCCGTGGTCTCCGACGGAGCTGCCACTATGACACCACTCGCCCAGAGGCTCGGTCTCACCGTCCTGTTGGCCGTCTCGGTTGCGTCGCTCGTCCTTTCAACCTTCATGATCTTCACCTTACGCCTGTTGGCGGCTTCCGTTGCAGAAGTTTGTCCTCCGGGCGGCGGATGCGAAATTCCCTCGTGGGTTGGTGGAATCAACATTGCCGAGAAGGAGTGGTGGTGGGGTGCGTAGTGCTCACTTACAAAGATCTGCTGACCTGATTACAGCCCGCATCAAGGAACAGCGCTACATTCAAATCACCACCCGCTGGCTCCCCCTCACGTACGCCTGTATTGGCTACAGTGCATTGGCACTCCTGTACATTGCCCTCTAGTAAATTCATTGTTGGCAACGCTGACCACAGCGGGTACACGCACACCGTGAGCAGAGCCAAGACCAAGTGGACAGCGGTCGGGTACGACGTCGTTCTCCAGTTGGGCTTTGGAGCATGCGGGATCGTTATTGCTGCTCTCCATTTACTCGTGGAGTGGATGTATGGACGGTTCTTCTGGAATCATCTGCAACAGAAGACAAACTGGTCGCGGTATTCCGAGAATATCTTCGCCCCGCGCGTGTGTGGTGACCTCGGAACGTACTGCGCGTGAGTTGAAGTGTGTCCAAGCTGACATAAGACGCTTTCACTCAAGCATGGGAACACTCATCGCCCTCGGGGCGCTTGTAAGCCCGACGCTTTTCGGATTTATGCTGACTCCAGTTCGTGCTTGCGGCAGTCGCGCAGCTATATTACGTGGTCCATCGCCGAGCTTCATGGAGCGACAGTCTCGTCTCCATCGACAAGCTTCGCGCCGAATCGGGCCGCAAAGTCACAGACTCGAGCGGGAGTCAAGATTCTAGCAACGGGCAGAGCGAGGAGTCACACCTTCGCACTCACAGGACCCCAAACCGGTACGAGAGCCGGCAGTTTCAAGATTTTGTGGTGCCACGCACCCAACCTAGCCCGTGGCAAAGCAGTTCTCCTTGCAAATCACCTCGGTTCAGTGTGCACAGCACATCATCCCCGCCCACCGGAACGACCGGACGAGTCACCCATCTCGAGGAAGGCACATCAGCCGATGCAAACACCCTCCCTTCGGCTTCCAACCGCCGCACTTACTACCCACAGACCACCTTGAGCTCCGCATCAGCCGGCAATAAGCGCCTCTCGACGGGGAGTCTCGGTTCTCCGCATCATCTCCGAGCCTCGGTCTATCGTTCGATACCCAAAACTCCCTCCCCTCTGAGTCGGGCTACCAGCTACCAGGCTGTGACCGAAGCAGCCGAGACAACCGACGCTGTCACGCCGCTGGGCTTCTTGTCATTATCGCCCCGAGCCTCCCCCGAACGGCCCTCAAACTCTTGCGCCAACAGCCTGTCCGTTCACGCTGCCGGGCCCACTCCTTCTCCAATCGGTGACCTTCCCATTTCCTCCTCCAGCTCAGGCTCCTCGCTGCCCACCGCGTTCGAGACCGCTTCCGACTCTTCGACTATCCGCGGACGCAGTCGTCCTACCTCGCAATACTCCCGGAACTCTGGGGGCCCGTCTGCGTTCGCGGTCTTTGCTGCACTGGAGGAACTGCAGGCGGCGCTTGCAGCTCCCCATCCCACGCCAGAGGTCATCCGTAATTTGCAGGCCCGCATCGCCCATCTTCACAGTCTCGCCTATCCCGATGGAACTCTCCCACCTACTCCGCCGACCAATCGCCACTCAATCGCCTCTCTCCCGAATCAATCGAGGCGGTCGTCGCATCCCGCCCGGCGAAGCATGATTTAGCCTGCGGTCCGGATGGCCGACACCGTACCTCAAGTAATCCCGTTTCTGCTTCGGTAATAAACAGAAAATCTTTCCATAGATGCTGACAACGACATTGTGCATTATAAAACCGCATAGAGATTATTTTGTATTTCAATGAATTTTCCACTCAATCTTCGCGAAATAATAATTTACCCTCCCTTCACTGATGTAATGTCCAAACTCAGCTATATCAAGGGTCCTGGAAGTCAAAGCGTCAATATACATGCTACATGTCCCTTGGGCAAAACGTGGATGGCTGTTTCGTGGCGACCATTCATCACACAGCAGTGGAGACTACCGTCTGGCCAAGAAGATCTCGTCATTTGTCGTTATTCATAAATCTTCTACATAATATCTACGGCTCTTGTTCCGGAGGTTGAGGTTGAGGTTGAGGTCGAGGTTGATAGAGGCGGATGTGTGGCTATGGCGTTAAACATGGTGGTGAACTGTACTTCAGTATATCTACAGTTCCTGTTTCGGCGGTGAATGTCGGAGGCGAATGAGAGGCGGATGTGCGGTCAAGGCGCATATTTGGTGGTGAAGCCGGGGTTTATCGGCGTACTAACCCTGGAGCTCGGCATTGCCGTTACCGTTGTCGTCGAGGCGCATGAAGGGGATGTCGTCGTCCTCATGGACGGACTCAATCCGTGCCTCACCCCGCGCGGACTGGAACTCGGCGTCGTGCGCGGACTGGTCGGCGTCGCTGTGCAGGCCGTTCAGCTCGTTGTTCTGGCGTGGAGAAGGGTTGGCGCGGCTGCGCAGGGCCGCCCACTCGGCCTCGTGGACGCAGGTCCCGCCCCCTTGCTTGTCGACAGAGGTGTTGAGTGTCGCGACCTTGGCCCTGAGGGCCGCAGTCTCTTTGTCGCTCTTGACAAGGCGCGCGCCGAGCGTGGCGAGCTCGGTGGCGAAAGTCGTTCCCGCGTCGTTGGCGTACTTCAGCGCGGTGGCGAGCGTCTGCACTTTGGCCTCCTTGGCGGCGAGCTGGGCGCGAAGCGCCAACACGTCCACTTTGTACAGCGCCTTCCACTGCTTGCGGGTGAGGGGCGAAATGCCGGGCGGGTTAGGTTGCTGCCCGTCCTCCCCCTGCGTCGTGGTGTTGTTTGCGTCTTCGGTATGCGAGTGAGGGGGTCCACGGGGGTGCGAGCATGGCGGGTATCCGCGCTGGCGGCAGAGGCTTGAACATCTGGCACGCGCTTGCAGGGTGCCAGCAAACTTGTAGTGCATTTCTTGGAGCTCAGCTTTGGTGTTTTGGAGCGTGACGGTCAGCGCCTCGGCCGCGTTGAAGTGCTTGGCACTGTCGACTTGCGCGGCGTGGAGTTGAGCTTGGAGGCTGCCGTTCGTGGTCTTCAGCCACTCGTTCCAGTCCTTCGTGTACTCCAGCTCCTTCTGCGCCATCGCAAGGGCCATGGTGGTCGCCTCGTTCCGGGCATGGACCTCAGCTAGTTGCTGCCGCTGCTCGTGCAGCAGGGCGAGGAGTTCGCCATGCGAAATGGGAGTCGGGTCCTGCTGGACTGCCGGCACCGCGGGCGCCGGCGGCGGGAGGTGGTTGGCGCTCGGGGGTGGCGGCGCCTCATACCAGACTGAGCGCGACGACTGCCATGCAGAGGCGGCGACAGGGGCTTCCGGCACGCGCCACGCGAAAGAAGACTGGGGCTGAGGCTGCCTCATTGAGAGAGGGACCTGAACCGCGGTCGGGCTTGACGTTACGCCAGCAGGGCGGCGAGGCGGGGTCGTCGGGCCGAAAGAATGAGGCTGAGCGCTAAAGGGCGGGGGAGCGTCTTGAGCGGCGTTCGAGCCTGGAGGCACACCAGCAGAGTAGCGTTGCTGAGTGGGTGGGCGACGAGGTGGGAAGGGCAGGGAGCGAGGTGGGAAGGGTAGGGGGCGAGGCCCGGTGGGAAGGCTGCGACGAATGTAAGTGGCACCTTGGGTTGTGTCGCTGGAGCGGGCCGGCATCTCGGTACCGCTGCGGTGGAACTGGGAGTCCCGATTGCCAAAGTCGTAGCCGGCAGCGGCGCCGGCTGCCTCCGATGTGGCACCCCTAGTAGGGTTGACGAGAGCGGCCGAGGTTGCGTCTACAGGCGCCTGGATGAAGGCCTCTACGCGGGCGTCCCAGACTACACCGTCAGGCATGTTGGATTCGTCAAAACCGTCGTGCTTTCAGCGCGAGACGTCGTTGGAGCGGCTCCGAGGGACTTCGCGCAATAATCAGAGATGAAACCTGTCGTCAGCGCCGACGGCGAGAGGGCTCACGCGGTGAGATGCACAATTACGCGAGGTGAGATGGAGAAGATGGTGATGGGGGGGAGATGACCCAAAGGGGTGAGACCGAGATAATAAGAATTGAGACGAGTGAGGGAGATAGGAGAAAGCTGTTTGGGTGGGGTGGCAACGCAAGTAGATAAACTGGGAGAGGATGTGTTGGGGGAAGTTGAGGAGGGGGGAGGGGGTGACCAAACAACCGGGTGAGATGAGGTGCTTGTAAAGCACGAGGCGAAAGTGCGGGAGTGGTGGGTGGAAACATGCATTCCCTCCTACCACCCCCAACTTTCAGCTTCTCCGTTTATCGCGATCAGTCCCGCCTTACTCGGCCTCGCCCATTCCCCTTTGTTCTCTTTGGCTCTTCTTCTCGTCAGCCATTGCCTCGGCGCCTCAACGCTCAGCCTTCTGCTATGCACACAGTTTGTGTTTATGTCCCACCGCGTGTTTCGGTTGCAGAAGGCCAGTTGACTCGGCAGGCCCGGCTAGTGGCAGGAATGTTAGTGGTCAGTGAAGGGGGAAAGCGGGACAGGCATTTGGCCATTAGTGTGAAACTCATTAGTGTCAAACTCACAATATTGTCATTCTTGCACCTCTTTACAGATTTACTGGAAGGGACGAATCCATATTTTGCAGATTCACTTCCACGCGGTTATCGAGCCGTCCTACTTTTGAATACCCTTGGCTGCCACAGCGTTGCACTTGGTCCTCCGCGCGGAAGCACGATTATTCTGCATGCCTAACTCGACCCTCGCCTGTGCGTTTGCATGACCTTGATGACTCGATCCGGGTGTATGAACTTTGAGCAGCGTGTCGAGTTTGTACTGGAGCTTGGCGCCCTCAGTCGTCTTTGCGCGGAGCTGGACCTTCAGCGAGGCGATTTCGGTCGCTTGAACGCCCAGTTTGACTTCCATAGCGGAGAGCTCCTGCGTCATGTAGACAAGCTGCGACTGCTGCGTCCTGGCGCTCTTCGTCATTGCCGCAAGTTGCACGTTCTTCTTCGCGAGTGCATTCTGCAGCTCCTTCAGTTCCTCGAGTCGCTTGTCGTGTTTCGCCTGCCATGCTCCCACATCGTGACCATGCACAAGGCAGGTTCGCTCCAGCGGTTTGAGCTGTTCGCGAAGCACCTCGATGTGGCTTGACGCCCTGGACTGCACATATTCGGCTTCGGAGATACGCAGGCCCAAGATGCCTTCCGACTGATGCCCATCGTCGTCCTCCCCGAGATACTGCTTGGACTCGTCCATCCGTACGGTAAGAAGCTCCGGGTTATCGATCTCGCCATCGATCTTGCCACTCTCCCCATGAGTGGCGGCCGTCTTGTGCGTCTTGACCCTCTCGACGTGGCTCAGCGTGAAAAGGCGCTCGGCATGAGCGGCAAGTTGACTGCGAAGGCTCTCCTTGTCGTGCGGCTTATCATCGTCGTGTTGCTCATGCGAAAGTCTGGCAAGATACTTGTCCAGGAAACCGATTTGATCGTGCAGGTTCTCGTCATGCACTTGCCTTTCGGCAGGCCTGTTGGTCAGACAGTTGAAACCCTCACGATCCCACACGCACTTGTGGAGCGCGCGCAGGTCGCGGAGAGTCTCAGCGGGGTCAGAAGGCTCAGCACCACGACCCTCATTGCGGCTCCGCTCACTCTCCACCACCGAGAACTGTTCTATCGCGGCGGTGAGCTCGCTGCGGATCTCATCGATCCCACGCTGCCTGTTCGCTAGCGCGGCGAGAGATTCAGCCTCCGCTGCAAGCTGGGCGCGGAGGTTCGAATGGGCGGCTTGCTCCTCAGCCAGCTCTTTAGCGAGAGCGGCGTTGTCCTTCTTATAACGGTCAAGCGCAGCGAGGGCCGATTCAAACTTCGCAGCCAGGCTTGTGATCTGGGACTGGGCGACTTTCTGAGCATTGTTTTCACCGAGCAAGCCAGCTGTACTGGCGGCCTTGACGAGCCGCGCGAGCCGCGTACTGACGGCCCCGATTTCGCATGCATCCTCCGCGAGCCGGTGACGGAGGTCGATCTCGTTGCGCCACTGCTGTATGAGCGGGGTGTGGGCCTCGACACGACCTACTTGGATGGCAGGGGCCGTGTTTCGGGCCGTGTTTCTCTGATTGAGGGCGACGGCTCCTTTGGCGCCAACATCCATCTCCATCTGATCTGAAATGGCCTCCAGGCTGTATCCTTGCGCCTCCGATACGGCACGGAGGATGATGGCAGTGCTCTTCATCTCGCTGATGTTGCCCGAGCTGGTGTCGCCCGACTCGTCACGAGGCATCTCGGCGGGCGGGCTGGGAGTACGGCGGGTGAGTCCGGCAACGGCGGCGGCGAGCGCGTCCTGCTTGGCGCGCATGTCCGCAAACCCCGACGAAACCGTTGCGGTGAGCGCCATGAGGGCCTCTTCATGCGCACCGGTGGTGGACGAATGACGGGCCGTGAAGACATCGATGAGGGTGACGACCGCATCGCTCATGCGCTGCGCCTCAGTGGGCGTGCCGAGGGCAGGCGGTGTGGCGGCGTGCACGGACATATTGTGCTGGGTCGCTGTCTCGGCGGTGTGGCCGGCCTTTGCTCCAAGCCGACAGGTAGTGTGCCGGAAAACAAGGTCGAGGCGAGCGTAGGAGAGAGCACCTCAGCTGGGTGCTGATGTGGCTGAGCGTCTCGTCCGTTCGCAACCCCAAGCGGAACAAAATGGGTAGCTGGGGCCGCTGATATGAGTTGTCTGTAGCGGTCTCTGACTGCGTCTGGAGGTGTCGGGGCGTCGCGACGGTCCGGCTTGAACTGAAGTCACATAGTGTCGTTGTCTAGGCCTCTCATCATCTGTTCGCCATAAGCGGTGCAGGTTGAGCCGCGCATCAATTCACGCCTGTGGAAGCCGCATACTCGCCAAGTTTGGTCAGCTTCAAGCCCGTCAAGCTCGGTTACTAGGTTAAGCGCGTGTGCACTTGGTAAGGCGGGGAGACGATCATTGTACGCATGGCTTAGTCAACCACAAGTCGCGGACTCCTCGCCTGCAAGAACATCAGTGTCACGACTGGGGCGCAGGGCCCGACGTGGCCGTAAGATGGTCAATCTCGTCAGTCTTCTACTTTCTGCTCTTCTCGTCACATCCCGGATCGCTCGCTTCAGCGGTCTTTCCACCCTGGTTTGCCAAGCGACGGCATACTTTCTCCGCTCGTATCCATTACTCAGCCTTCTCCCGAGGACCACCCCCACTCCCTCGCACCTCGTTAGCTCGCTGCCACGTACGAAATGCATAGCCTAGCCCCTGGAGCTTGAGAAGCGGTTAAAGTCGCGCTCGCCAAGTCCACCCGGTGCTGGACGGTTGGACCAGTGGGGGATAACGCCCATGGCGCGGGCACGGCGCACCATCTTGCCAACCATCTTCTGCGAGCGCCACGTCAGGCCGGTCTGGTTGCGGCCCTTGATGCGGCCGATTGGGTCGATGAAGGCCATGCTCATCAGGGGGTTGGTGCAGTGGTCGAGAGGGTTGGCGTTGCGAATGTAAAAGGGGTCAATCTGCTTCGCGACGCGCTTCGAGGGGCCGAGGAGGGGAGGGCGCGGCCTCGGCTTCTGCGTCGGGTACAGGTTCGACTCCTTGTAGACGTGGGGCTCGGCGAACTGGCGTCAGCAGCTGACCCATCTGAACAGAATGACGAGCCGAAATGTCTGGCGCCTTTAGCGGCACCGCCGGAGTGGGGCGCGGGGACGGAGACAGGCTGCAGTCGTCCGACAGCGTGACGCTGGGATCGACCACTCGCTAAGCCTTCCCTCACCGATCCCCGCACAACCTGCAGGCGCACACCTCAACACTCCAATTCTCGCTTATACTCACCTCGTTGGGGCGGAACTGCCTGCGGCCGTCCTCGCTCGGGCTGTGCCGCAATCCGACAGAGCCGATCATGCCGCGCGCGGCGTTGTCGGCCTGCGACTGCCCGCGGTTGGGAGCGCTCGAGTCGGCGGTGAGGCGCGCGAGAAAGTCGGATGTGATCTCCGCGGCCGACTGGCGCACTGGAGGGGTGGTGTGGAGGGCGCGGACGCCGCGGAGTTGCCTGAACGCCATGGTGGTGAGGATGGGGTGGTGGATCGCGAGCAGAGAGGTCAGTTCCGAGGTAGTTAGCTGGGATGGACTTTTCGGAGCGGGAGCATTTGGGGAATCGCGTGCCGACCGCGCGCATATCGCGTGGTAGCATTGACGATGTTGGGATTCCACAGCAGGTGTACCCTTCGAGCTTCTGACGGCCAGCAGCAGCAGCCAGCGAGCGCGAGGGCTGCCTCGCAACCTCAACAAATTTCCAAGTACAGGTGCTCTTCATGACGAAAAAACGGATAGCCCAGATGCAGACTAGTAGAGAGAAGGTGGACAGCTGCGTTTGGTAGTTGACTGCATTGAGACTGGATAGACAACGACTGTACGAGTACCCACCAAGACGATCAAGCTGACCGCTGAGACTGTACCTACGTGTGCAAAGGACATCACTCTAGCAACAAGAGCGCGACCGATCTGCGCAGGACGCTCACCCACGGTTGGGAACGTGGGAGCCGCGCTCTTCCTCTGAGAGGCCGACCCACTTCAGTACCAAGAAGGGGACGGGAAGTACAGAAAGTCTCTGTGTCTCGGGAGGGTTTTACCTGTAACGGGAGGAGGGCATAGTATATGAGAAGAGGATTGTGGGGAGGCGACGGGTGCGTAGGTTAGCGAATTGCTCTTGGAGAGATTTAATGAGAGTTTCAGCGGGCCGGAAACGATTGAGAAAAGCGCGTTGTGATCAGTGGCACAAGATGCCGGCCGTGATCTGGATGGAGACGCGGTTAGAAAAGATGCAGAGTATAGGATGGTTGAGAAGAGGATGCAACATCAGAGTGGTGTCCGAGCGAGTCTCATCTAGATCGAGGCTGGCAACTACTCTATTTGATCCCGTAGCATGGGCCGGACGGGAGCAAACCTGGCTCACCACACGCGTTGGGTTGTTGTCGCGATTCATCTCTGTCCACAACCCTCATACCCATCCATCCGTCACCTGTCATGTCCCTCCCCCCAACTGCGGGCGCCAAGCGGCCCGCCGAGATGGACGCTGAAACTGCGCGCCGCATGATCGTGAACCCAGCCATGGCTGCCGCGGCCCGCATGGCTGGACAGGAGCGCAAGGCGCGCGCTCCCCTCCCGCCAGCACACGTGCTCGAAGCTCTCGTCCCCGACAGCCCGGCGTTCTCTGAACTCGTGCGCATGGAGGCCAAGCTTGACTGGACGCTGCTGCGAAAGAAGGCGGAGATCAACGATGCGTTGGGACGCAGCACGCGGATAAAGCGGACGCTGCGTGTGTTCGTGAGCAACACGGCGCATGACCAGGCGTGGCAGAAGGAAGGCGAGGAGAAGGGCGAGGTGGACGTTGACACGGGGAAGGGCGTTGCGGGATGGGTGCTTCGGATAGAGGGGCGGATGCTCGACGTGAGTTGAACAGGCGTCGAGTGGTGGTTGACGACAGACGGGTAACAACCGCCTTGACAAGCAGAAGCGCAAGTTCTCAACATTCCTTCGTTCTTTGGTTGTTGAGTTTGACAACCGCGAAGCACCAACGTTCTCCGAGGGCAACATTGTCGAGTGGCACCCCCGCGCAGACCAGGCGCCTCTGGACGCGTTTGAAGTTCTCCGCCGCGGCGACACTAATGTGAAGTGCCGAATCGTGTTGCACGTTGCCCACTCTCCCGAGCGATACAAGGTGCTCGCGCCGCTCTCCGAGCTCATCTCGGTCCGCGAGGGATCACGAGCGGAAATTATGGCCGCAGTATGGCAGTTTGTCAAGGCCGCCGGCGCGCAGGACAAGGAGGACTCAACGATTGTGCGCCCCGTGGGCGGCCTCGAGAAGGTGTTCCCGCACGGCAGCGAAGGTGTCCAATTTCACTCCATTCCCGAGATCGTGGGCCGCTGCCTCGCGCATCCCGACCCCGTGATTATCCCGTTCGAGATCAAGGTCGACAAGGAGAGCAACGTGTCCCCACAGTGCTACGACATCCCCATCGAGATCGAGGACCCGCTCAAGAGCCGCATGGCTCAGATCGTGCAGCAGTTCGAGGGGCAAATGGGGAGCGAGATTGTCGCGCTCGAGGGCAAGGTGGGCGAGCTCGCGTACTTTGCCCGCGATCTCAAACAGAAGCGTGACTTCCTGGAATCGTTCTCGTGAGTCCTGCCTCCGTATCGGAGAGACCAGCTGACACCAGTGCCTCACCACACGCGTTTATTCACAACTGGCTCGCTGCGCAGGCACGTGACCTCGACCAGATGCTCGGGTACCAGATTGGTGCGCCGGGTGCGAATGGCGCGAGCGTGCGCGAGGAGGACTTGCGTCGCAGCGACATGTTCACGCTGCCATGGGTCGACGAGGCCATTACAGTGTACGAGCAGCAGCGGCGAGTGTAGCCTTGAGGGAGGCCGGTGCAGAGTTAGGAGAGAGAAGCCCCACTATGCAGGGCCAGATCTATGTATTGTGTCTACTAGCTATCGGGCAATGTCGATGTTCCAGAGTGCGATGCGTCGATCTTTGGCGCCGCTCGCGAGCCAGTTTGTGGGATCACCGGCCTCGTCGCCTCCGCCGTCCTCGCTATCTGAGTCGCTGTCGGCGCCAAGAGCCAGCGTACCAGCTCGTCGAGGTGGCGCGGGGTCGGGGCTGCCCCAAGCCAAAGCGTGCACCGACTCGCGATGGTATGCAAGGGCGCCCAGGGGTTTCAGTGTCGCTGCGGAAAACAAGCGGATTCTAGCGTCAGCTGAGCCGCCGGCCTCGTCGGCTTGCTGGCGACACTCACTTCCCGTCCCACCCGCCGACGGCGAGGATCCGGCCGTCGCCTGATACCGCGAGCGCAGAGTTACCAATCTGCTGTGTCGGATACGCCTTGATTGCGACCTCTCCAGCCAGTGCCTGCTGTCAGTGCGGCGTGGACCAGACTCACGGCCGCAAGGTCGATGCGCACGACGCGGTGGTCAGCGCTGACCGTGAACGCGCGCTCGAACGCCCGGTCCACCGCCATGGCCATGACTATCGTCAGCTCATCCTCGCACGAGCTTACCAGCCTCGTTGTGCGCCTTTCCCTCCCACACACGCGACCAGAGCTTGTCCGCCATCTTGCGCCCGTCCCACTCCGCTCTCCGCTCCAGCAATGCCGCGAGGGGGCACGACCACAGCTCGACGCGCCCGTCTTCGTACGCCGCGACGAGCGCGAGCTGGTCCTCGGTCCGAGCTTTGCCCTTGCCCTTGCCCTCCGCCTCTCGAGGGGCAGTATGGGGGAGAACAGCAAGGTGCAGCGACATCACGAGGCCGCTCCGCGGCCCGTCTTTGGCGCGCGGAAGGAAGTTGACAGCCGCGCCAACACGGTCGAGCGACGGGAGGGCGTAGATGTCGATCTGGCATCAGACAGTTCCGGCAGAGACGCACCAGCTCCGAGTCAGTCAAGTTCGGGACGGCCATCAGTGCTGTCTCCTCTCCGGGCACGCGCGCGAGGGAGAAGGCGCAAAAGTTGAGCGCGTTGGCGGGCATCTCGCGCGTGATTTCCGGTGGACCCGACGAGAGCGGCGCGTAGAGTCGGATAGCGTTATCGCGGCCCTGGCTGCCGTCAGCGCGCTCGACGCACAGCTCACCTGATGATGCCGCCCGCCCACTCCCCGACGCCGAGCACGCCGCCCTTGTGCGCCTCCCAGCTCGCGACGACACGGCGTGTGCGGAGGTCCGACACGCTCACCACGCCGTCCTGGTCGCCCGCGAGGAGGTGCGTGTTGCCCGGCGTGAAATGGAGTGCGGAGAGGGGCGCGGCGTGCGCGCGCAAAATGAAGAACGGGGGTGGCGCCGGCATGATGTGAGGCAGAGAGAGCGAGGTGGAGGCCAAGTCGGCGGTGACCGACTCACGCGGAACCAAACAGGTCACGAGATAGTTGCAATTGGCAACTATTTTTCTCACCGCAGCTCGCCGGAGGCAGCAGGCTAGGCGGGCGAGTCAGCCCACCTAAGCGAAGCAGCCGCCACATATACCCTTGACCTGTTGGCTGTGGCCCCGACTCTCCCCTCACCCTCAAGCGAAAATGACAGCCCACGCCGTCCCCGACGCCGACATCCTCGCCCTCCGCGCCTTCAACCGCTTCTACACGCGCCACGCCGGCGTCCTGGGCCCGTACCTCGCCTCAGACTTGTCGCTCACGGACGTGCGTGTGCTCTACGAGATTGCACACGCCGCGGAGCCGCCGACGGCCACCGAGATCGCGCGCACCCTCGGCCACGACAACGGATACCTCTCGCGCATCCTCAAGCGGCTCGAGACGCGCGGGTGGGTCCGGCGCGCCCCGCACCCGCGCGACGGCAGGCAGAGCTTGCTGGCCCTCACGCCGGACGGGGAGGCGGCGTACGCGGGCCTCGATGAGCGCAGCCAGGCGCAGGCGGGCGAGATGCTCGCCCCCCTCTCGGAGGAGAAGCGGGACGAGCTGATGCGCGCGCTGGATACGGTGCGCCGGCTCCTGGGCGACGCTACGTTGGCTCTCGACGCCGGAGATGCAGCGCAAGTGTCCACCGGCGCCAAGGCTGCCCCAGCGCTGCCAACACCGGCTCACCCGACGCCGACGGGCGACGTCATCCTCCGCGACCTGCAGCCCGGCGACCTCGGCTGGGTCGTGCAGACGCATGGCTCGCAGTACTTTGCCGAGTACGGCTGGGGACGCGAGTTCGAGGTCCTGGCCGCTGAAGTCATCGTCGACTTTGGGCGGGACAAGGATCCGCGCGTCCGGGCGTGGATCGCCGAGCGCGGCGGCGAGCGCGTCGGCTGTGTTTTCATGGTCCGGGGACGGGACGACGAGACGGCCAAGCTGCGCCTGCTGTGTCTCACGCCTGGTGCGCGCGGCGCCGGGCTCGGCGCCCGGCTCGTGGACGAGGTGCTCGCGCACGCCCGCGCGATGAAATTTAAGCGGCTCGAGCTGTGGACGCACTCGTGCTTGACGACAGCGCGGAGCATCTACGCGCGCCGCGGCTTCGTCATGAAGGAGATCAAGCCGTACGTCAGCGACGGCGGCACGGAGCTCGTGGGCGAAAACTGGGAGCTGGAGTTGTAATATGGTATGCCAGTGCATGTGATGGGCTGTGCGATGATGCGATGAGATGACTATGGATCCTTCTTCTGCGCCTCACGCGCAGCAGCCTCGGCCAGCCGCGCCTCGCGTGCTGCGCGCTTGACCGCGCGCGCGGCCTCCTCCTGTTCGCTTCTAGGTGGGAATATGGGCTCAAGCCCCCGCGCCTTCCGAGCCTTATTAACGCGCCACACATCCCGCCGCCGCCGCGCAGCCTTGACGCGCTCAATCACGTCGTCCGGGAACATGGCTTGCGCGCGCCGCGCGTCAGCATTCAAGCCCTCCTCGATGCGCGCAGCATGCGCATCAAGTGGCGGCGTCCACCCCGCGTCGCGCCGCTCCTCGCGCGTGCCGGACACGGGCGAGCTCCACTCGTCCTCGATGCCGAGCGTGCGCCACATGCGCAGCTCGGCCGTGATGTCGCGCCGGTTTTCGAACACCTCGCGCAGCTTCAGGATGCGGTGTTCGCGCTTCCGCTGGCGATGGGCGAACATGCCCGCGATCGCGCGCGGCTGCGGCTTCATGCGCGGGAGCGGGGGCGAGAACTTTGTCGGGCGCATGTATCCGCCCGTGAGGAGGGGGCGGGGCGGCGGTGGTGGTGCGGGGCGCGCGAGGTAGGCGTCGTAAGAGGAACGGAGGGCCGCTTCGCGCTTCGCGAGGACGGGGTCGGACGCGGAGAGCGTAGAGAGGAAGCGCTCTTCCGCGAGAAGGAAGGCGCGGGTGTCCCGCATGCTCGTCCACCCGCGAGCGGTGCGCCAGCGTGCGCGCAGGGAGGCGAGGAGGTGTGGATAGGTGCCGGAGAGAGGAGTGAGCGGGGCGAAGCCGTCGTACGCTTCGCGTGGGGGTGACTTGAGCGCGGTGATGTGCTCGGTGCCCTGGAAGGCGGCGAGGTAGGAGGATCCCAAGAGAATGCGGGAGGCGGGGATGGTGGGGCGGGAGGAAGGAGGGGGTGGTGTGGGGGAGTCTGGCGAGGCGGATGGCGATGAGTCGGATGGTGAGCTTGGAGAAGATGCCGAGCTCGACGCGGATGACGACGGACTGGAGGGTGGTAGCGACGAGCTCGAAGAGGCCGCCGATACCGCTATCCTCGCCGCCGCCAGCGCTGCGGCGCCGCCCATCGCGCGAATCAGTGGGCGATACAGACTCCATTTGGTCGGACGAGTGTGTGCTGGATCGCGGAAGAATGGGCGCGTATGCACCTCTGGTGCTGGAGGTTTGCGGACATACGGCAGCCGTGACGGGCGCGCGACGTATACCTTTCCGGCCTTGGTGGTCAGCGTGCCGCCGTCGCCTGCAGTGTCCGCCATCGTGTTACGAGTATGATGTGAGTGGTTGGGGTGGAGGACGAACCACCTCCACTTCTGACTTTCCAACTTTTGCTCGGCGTCGCCTGCACGGCCGCACGGACTCGTCGAGCCAGCCGGTCAGGCCGGCCACGACCAGGCCATTACCTGCCATCAACCAAGCCAGCCCGCGCTCAGCGACCAGCGACCGCGACCGTGACCACGACCTCGTCATGCCATCTCCCGCCCTCCTCGCACTGCATCGCGGCTCGCACAGCAAATTTGATCCATCATCTACAACTCTCGCACATCACAAGTGTCATTCCGTTGGTTTTTCCACAACCTCACAGGTCGACGACCTAGGCCAGGACATAGAATAACGGAAGCCGCGCACGGCGGCGCCCGCCTCCGCGACACGTCGACGCCGAAGCGGAGCGTCTTGGGTAATAGCGGACGCCGGCGCTGCGGTCAGTCTGGGGGAAGCCGTGTCCCGTCGACAGGACGCGCGCATCCGCATCGCTGCGCTTGCGCGTCCAATCTGTCGAATGCCCGCGCCGCGATGCAGCGCGGGACCGGGCCCGTGGAGAGCAAGATTGCACAACGAGTTGTTTATGTACTGGTGGGAGAGGGGCGGGGTTAGCTCGGCGAAAGGCGTGTGGCGGAGAATTTGGTTTCGCGCCTGATTTTGAGCGGTGCGAGCGATCGAGCGAGGTGCGAGGGGGTCTATAGGGCGCAGGACAAACAAGTCGGGATTATGCAAATGCATGATGCAATGATGTACTATGATACAAATGGGTCGATGTTTGACACCGCGCTTTCTGCGCGTTCTATCGTTCTTCTACGACGCCGGCGCCGACGCTGCCTCGGCATCCGCCCGCTCGCCGACCCACTGCGGGTCCTTCTTCGTGCCGATGTGCGTGGCCATCGGGCTGCGCGCACGCAACGCCGGGCCGTAGTAGTACAGGAGGAAGGGGATGGGGAGGAACGCGACGGACGCGAAGCCGAGGACCGAGTTTCCCCAGTCGATGCCGAGATTTTTGAAGAGCGGGAAGGCGACGATGGGCATGGCCGCGCCCATCATGGAGCGCACAAAGTCGTTGCTTGCGAGCGCGCTCGCCGCGTGCTTCGGGTACGCGACGCACAAGTAGTTGAGGTATGGCATGAAGGACCAGCAGTCTGCGAGGCCGAAGACGCCGCTCGCAATCATGGGCGACGCCCAGTGCGTGCGGTTCGCGCTCCACGCAAACCAGAACAGGCAGATCGGGTAGCACCACGCGCCGTACAGCGAGAGGGGGAGGTATGCTTCTGGCACGAGGCGGCCTTTGGCGGCGACGTACTGCGGCTCCCAGACGTAGACGCTCCAGACGCAGTACACGGCGTACGAGAGCATGCCGCCGATCGTGAGCGCGATGAGCGGCAGGCCCGCCATGCCGAGGCTCCAGCCGTACCCGACGTGGAAGACGAGCGGGTAGCTCTCAAAGTACGAGTAGAGGATGGCGTATGTGAGGCCGACGTACAGGTCGATGGCGAGGACGATGGGCTCTTTGACGGTCATTTCGAGCGGGCGCGCCAGCGCCTCGTACATGACGCCGCCGAACGTCTTGTGTGCGTCGAGGATCTCGCTCTCGCACCGCAGATTGTTGTTGCGCGTGAGGCGGCGCAGGCGCGCGGCGCGCTTGTACAAGATCGTATCGGCGTTTGTCTCGGGCAGCCCGACGAAGAGGAGGAGGAAGCCGAGGCCGCCGATCATGAGCATCTCCCAAAACGCCCATTCCCAGCCCCAGCGTTCGATGGCGAAGCCGCTGAGCATGGGCGCAATGGCGGGCGCGACGCCTACCGCGACGCCGTACGCGCCGAGCGCGTATCCGGCCTTTTGGGGCGAGAAAATGTCCGTGAGGCTCGCGCCGCCGGTCGCGAGCGGCGGCGAGCCCATGAAGCCGGCCAGGAAGCGGAGGACGCACAGGCCCGCAAAGGAGGGCGTGAGCGCCGACGGGACTTGGAGCACGCAGAAGATGAACATGGAGATGATGTAGGGCGGGTTGCGCCCGATGCTGGCGATCTCGGAGAGCGGGGCGAGGAAGAGGGGCCCGACGGCGTAGCCCGCCACGAAGAGCGTGAGGAGGAGGGCGGCGACGATCGTGCTCACGCCAAAGTGCTGCGCGACGTCTTCGAATGCGAACGCCACGATCGAGGAACCTGCGTAAATTGCGAACGTGTAGTACATGATGACGAAGGCGGCCCAGACTTTCTTCGTCAGACTCCAGTTTTGCGGGTTGCCCGCGTCGTCCGGCCCGTACCACGTCACGAGGACGGTGCCGTCCGGCGCGAGCTCGAGCGCGTGCGCTGTACGCTCCGCGAACGGGTCGTACATCCCCTCGGGGACGGGCGTGGCTTCGTACGCGCGCAGCGCGTCCGCCGTGTCGGGGTGGGTGGAGTCGGCGGCGTCGTCTGACGCGGCGTACTCCTTCGGCTTGGGCGTGGCTGCGGATGTCGGCGCCAGCGTCGTGGACCGGCTCCACTCGTCCTCCTTGAGCGCGAGCGGTGTGCGGGGCCGGTACACGTCGGGGACGACGAAGCCCTCCTCTTCCTCGGGGTAGGGCAGGAGGGAGGGGCGCACGAGGCGCACGATCGTGCCGAAGGGCGTCTCGCGGAGGAGGTCCTTCATGGGAGTGGCGGGGTGGCGGGGTGGCGGGGGGGGGGGGGGGGGGGGGGGGGGGGGGTGGACCGGGGCGGTTAGTCGCTTGTGCTGAGGGCGTATGTTACGGTATGCACAGATTAGGGAGACATGGGGGCGGTAGTCTCGGCACAGTCATTTTAAGCAGCGCGGCGCCGCATGCGCCGACTCATCGCGCGGCGAAGATTCTATCGGAGACGGAGAGCGCTTGTGCGGGCGGAGTGGGGTGTAAGCGACTTTGACGGCGTGTCAGCGTGACGGAGAGGGCGTAATCTCCGCCTTGGCGGGGGAATTGAGCAATGAGCAGCATGGGCGACGCGGAGAGTCGGCGTCATTCCGACTGTTGAGTGAGCGGGGTGTGAGCGGAGAGTGAGCGGAGAGTGAGCGAAAGTTGGATTAGGCTGAACTATTGCGCGTGTGCACGCGGAGACGGAGGCCAGCCTCCGTCTTATCTGCGGAGTGTGGGTCACGTCCATTTTCCAGCCGGAAGAACTTGTCGCCGCGCGCCGATACGCGCTCCTCATCTTGCTTGGTCCAATGATCCACCATAACTGTCGTGAGTGGCAGCGACACTGTTGGCGGACAATTCACCGATGCGAGAAGCTCGCGCTGGGCGTGGCTCGGGTCGAGCGAGGCCGGAGCGACCTTGATCCTGGTGATCTCGGGACAGCCGAGCTTGCGCGTCGCTCTCAAGCCATGCAGTTCCCGCCCTCGCCCCTGGCCCCAAGCCTACCACCGCTGCCAGCTGCCAGCTGCTCTTCGCTGCTCCCAGCCGCGATTCTTGTGCCTTGAAATCTAGAGCAACATCTTCTGCTTCCGACATGCCGCGTTCCTCGCCCTACACAGTCCTGGCTCTGGCGGATTCACATGCGTAAACTTCGCAGCGCATCGGGGCTCGCAGCGCCCCAGCTTGTGCCTGTCGGTCTGTCTCTGGCTGTTGTATGCCTAGATCAGCGTGTGGTGCAATCGCCAACAATCGGCCTTGGTCAGCTGATCAGCTGACCTTGAGTGACGGCCGGCTCGCGCGTGCCGTCTCGTCTCGGAGGTAGCCGTGCGCCGTCAGGTGCGCGTGGCGGCACGGCTGACGTGTGCCGCGCTGCCGTGCCGCGAAATTCGAGGTGCTCGGCGTCCGGTATTCTGAGAGGCATGAGAGGACTGGCGCTGGCGAGAGTGGAGATCTCGGAGGAACCAAGTATTCGCTGATCGCCGGACCGCCGTGACGTCGGCGATGTGCGATGGTCGTGAGGGCCTTGCCGAGATCAGCGTTCCCACTCCCACCGCGCCCACCGGCATCTCAGCCACATTCCCACCCCCTTGGTCCCCACTGCACCTGACCGAAGTCGACCCACCCGCCACCAGCCCATCAGGACCGAGTGGAGACCATTGTTCGAGGCAAAGTCCCCCCTCAGTGCCTCATCCAAGCTTTGACTGTGGCGCTCGCCCATGATTGTCGCGCTCACTCCATGGCTGTGGCGCTCGTCCCATGCCACTCTGTATACCCCCCCCAGACACATACAAACAGTGCATACACTGTGCAATGCTACGGATAGACCAATGAAAACATGACCGACCTCCGAGTCGACCGAGCCGCGGACAAGGGCCGCTCTTACGGACATGTATACCAATGACAATGGGATAGGTGGTGATGCGATGCGAGAAATGCGTGCGACACCCGAAGGACGACCGCTAAATGCTGGAGTGCGGCGGTGGGAACTGGTGTGGAGTGTGATTGGTTGTGGTGCAAACATGGGACGTTTTGATTTTACTACTTCTTCTTCTTCTTCTGCTTCTTGTTGCTTCTTCGTCTTCTTCGAGGGATTGTAGTACAACGAGGCTGATGAACGAGTTGGGAGGGAGATCCGGAGATCGTGAAGCGGAGACGGGACTGTTGGGATAGGGGTGGTGATTGTACATGTTGGCGCGTGCTGCCCGCGCTAGTCGGCGCCAACAAAGGCAGCAAGCAACGCCGAGCGATTGCGCGAGGGGCGGCGGCCACGGGCAGGGCTCCAGCTGCGATCGCGGCTCTCGTTGATGCGGTCACGACGGCGGCCACGAAGCTGCTCGGGTTCCGGCTCGGGCAGAGCGGGGGCCGGGGCCCGACCGCGAGTCCGGCCACGGCCGCGACCACGGCGATCATCATCGCCATTGTCGTCGTACGACTGGGGCCGGCCAGAGGTACGATCGCGTTCAGGCGACGACGATCGCGAGTCGGCGCGGGGAGGGGATCGAGGGCGAGCCGCAGCATCACGCTTGATGAGGTCTAGTTCCTCGAGCTCACGCTTGCGCTCTTCGCGGAAGTCGACGGCCTTGTTTGTGAGGTCAATGTCCATAGGAACGCTGCGAACAAGGTCGCGCTCATGCAGAGAGTCGTCAATGGCCTTGCCGAGGTTGGCTTGGAGAGCTGTCGTCGGCATGGGCGAGGCAAGGCGACTGGGCTCGGGTGTGAGGCCGGTGGTGGTGACGGTAGGCTCGATCTCGGGAGCGGCAGCCGAACTGATGACCTCACCCTGAGATGTGGTGAACGATGGCACCAGCGAGGTCACTGGGAGCGCGAATGGGGTGAGGGAGCGAATGTAGTTTGACAGACTCATAAAGGCGGCCCCAGGGGTTGGAATCGGGAGCATCGACGAGCGACGGCGCTGCGAGAGCACAGCAGGCGCAGTTGGCTTCAAGGAGAGCTGGGCGTGGACTGCGCGAGGACTGAACGATGTGCGGCGGTCAATAGACGACGACACGATTGAAAAGTCGTCCGTGGCAGTCTCGGCAGTGTCACCAATGTCGGTCGAGGTCGAAGGGTCGATGACCTCGGACAGGGACATTGTAGACAGCGCTGGAGTGTCACCCTCAGTTGTGCGCTCCTCGGCGCCGCGCGTAGCAACCACAACGTCAACGATAGACAGTTCAGCTGGGGCGGGGACTGCCAAGCCAAGGGAGGATGACGTCGGCGTCTGGTCGGCCGGAGACATGGCAGCAACCGAAACGCGGCGGAATGCGTTGACGACCGGAGTAAACGTCATGTGGAGAGCACCCAGGGCGCCAACAGAACCCTTGGGCGTCGACCCGTGAGACGGCTCGTCGAGGGGCTCGGTGCTTGGAGGCGGCAGGTTTGCGAGCGTCAGGGCGCGGCGAGAACGAGGGCGGTTGCGATTTGCGCGGCCGCGGTGCTCATCGTCCACAGAGTCGGGACTTGACTCTCCGCCGCCGACGTTGCGTGCCCAGCTCATAATGTCTTCGCGGCTTCGAGAGGATGAGCCCATGCGAGTGATGGGGTTGGACGTGTCCATGGAAGGGCGAGCGGTCTGCACAGGTGACGAAGATGTGGGCGAGTGCAGACGGTGGGGCGGAGCCTGACGAGGGGAAGGCAAAGGTGCCTGAGGGTGAAGGGTGGAGAATGGCATGAGATTGCTGCGGCGAGGGGGAATAGGAATCTCTTGCTGCTCGTTCGAGCTGTCCGATGTTGACTCAAAGGGTGACTCTAGGTTGGGTGTGTTGGCACCTGTGGACAAGGCGAGCTTTGCCATGTCATTGGAGAGGTTGAGGTGCTTCTTGAAAGACTTGGGTGTGCCGTTGACCGCCTTTGCCTTGCGTGCAAAGGGAAGGGTGGGACGCTCGATCTCATCGGAAGCTGGGAATGAGAAGGCACGGCGGTCACGCTGCGGAGCGTGGCGATGACGCTCGTGGTGCGACGCAGGAATGGTCTCGTCCGAGAGCAACTGGCCACCGCCTCCGACGAGCGGACTCGGATCTGGGCGCTGAGGCTCGAGGCGACTGCGACGACCAGTTGAGCGACGATCCGAGGGGTTGCGCGAGACGTTGGCAGAAGTCGGTGGAAGGGGAATAAACTTTGGCGGAAGAGGTGACGTAATGGCCTGTTGCTCGCTCTGCTGAGACTTTGGCGAATGATCACGCTGGCGGCAGTCGTCCGAGCAGTAAGGGCTACGGTGGTCGCGCTGGAGTCAGCAATGCATGCTTGTCGTAGATAAGTGATAACTCACTGTGCGCTTGGAGCAGGCGAGGCACCAGCCAATGTCCATGTCCATCTCCATGTTGGGCCAGTGTTGGTTGTTGGGGTGGATGGGCGATTGGGAAAGATGATTCAAGACACGGCGTCGAGATCAAGCATCAACTTTTGGAGTGTGTGGTGGTCGGAAAGAGGAAGCGTTGATAAAGGACAGGACTGGCCGCAGTCTGTTTTGTTTGGGGGGGGGGGGGGGGGGGGGGGGGGGGGGGGGGGGGGGGGGGGGGGGGGGGGGGGGGGGGGGGGGCGAGTGACAGCGATCTGTAGTACGGGCGAGTGACAGCGATCTGTAGTACGACGCCGGGTTGCGCGAGCGAGTTTTGTTGGAGCGACGATGGAGAGGAGATCAAGTGTTGTGACAAGGGGAGTTGTGTGACGTTCGGCAATTGGACGGAGTTGAAGAGAGTTTGGAGCCAAGCGTGTGCGAGGGGCGTGAGAGGGGATCGGGGGCGCCGCGACCAAGGGAGGAGGTGCGAAGACGTCGAGGGCCAAGGACAAGGTGACAACGGATTGGGAGCGACGAATGTTAGGTGGTGGGGTGCGAGTTGAAAGGATGTCGTTGCGTGGGACGTGGTCAGCGATCGTTGGCTATGCAAAGAGGAAATGGTGTGTGTGTGTTGAGAGGAGGAGAGTGGAGTGGAGTGGAGTGGAGCCAAGTATGTATGAGAAACAAGAATGCTGGTCGTCGTCTCGGTCGTGAGGGGGGGGGGGATGATGAACAAGGAAACAGACAAGGGCGAGAGGAGGATGAATGTGTGGCCAGTGCCAGCAGGCCAGGCATTGCCAGGATACACAGGACGAAAGATGACGAGTAGTAGTAGTGTAATTTACAAAGATGGGTACCGATAGAAGACGAGAAGAGAAGACGAATGCGAATGTCATGGGAGGATCCGAGTGTAGGTCATCCTTCTTGCCACCGCTCGCTGCGCAGCACCAGTCTTCGGACCGACCATTGCTCGGCAGGGGGAGATCAGGTGTGGAGTTCGTGGGGTATGCACAGGGCTGGTAACTTGGCACCGCTCCTCGCCATCCTCCAAGGCCTCCAAGCTCCCTCGATTCTGTGGGATCCCCGCGGCGCACGCCACAATGTGTAAACCAACGTTACACAAAAATGGTCGGTTGCAGCAGCCAACAGAGCCGAGACGCTAATGGCAACGCCCACACTGACGCACGGGCGACAATACCAATGAGAACGTGGGGTTGACAGGGATTAAGAGATAGGTCATGGGTCACGCTGTGAGCGAGCGCGACGCCATCCATGGCTATCCCACTCGAGTGGGGCTTCGCAATGGTCCCGGGAAGGATGGCGTTGACACAGACCTCCTGGTGGAGCTTCCGCGCCACACTGAGGGATAAAGACGGCCTCAGAAAAAGAAGAGAGAGAGAGAGAGAGAGAGAGAGTGCCCCAGAAATACGAGGAGAGCATAGGTGTGGAGGAGGGGGCGCGCCGAACAGGTAGGGCAAGACCGAAAAGCAGCAGCGACTCACGATTTGGTCTTCAAGATGCGTCTGAGCGCGATTGACCTTGAACTCGGCCTTGAGGGTACACAGGTACGCGACTGAGCAAGTGGGAGAAGCGTACGCTATGGGCGCCAGGAACGAGGCCGCTGCGGAAAGCGGGCGAGGGGTATGAGGGGATCAAGCGATAGCTAGTCGTCTATCGTCAAATGACAAGCGCACAGATGAACAAAAAAAAAAGTATCCGTTGGAAGGGGGGGGGGGGACGAGCGTGAACGGAATTGACGGATGGATGACGGATTCAGATAGGGTTGATGTGGCGTGGTGGTGCGTGCCAAACGACAAGGCAGAGCAAGGGAATGAACGACAAGATCGGATCGAGATCGGCGACGGAGGATAAAAAAAGGAGACGAGATAGGGGCCAAGAGATCAGGAGAGGGGGTTAGGAGAGGGGGTCGTGCGGGTATCGGCATGGACGATTGAGGAGGAGAGAATGAATGGTTGATGTGACGGGTTGAGGGGGGGAGTGAGGAGGATGGGATGGGTGGCGGTGAAGCGGGAGGCGGTGGATGGGAGGGGGGGGGGGGGGGGGGGGGGGGGGGAAGGGGA